AATGTAATCGATCACTTGCATTATATGGAAATGAAGTTTTCGAACATGGTACCTAAACATGAATAAAATCCAATAAAAGGGATGGAAAGATTCAAGAACTAAACTCAAAAAAATTATTGTCTTAAGGCCACTGCAAACTTTCTATCTTTCTTTCCCCAAACAACGTACAATCAAAAGAGCACAAGAAAACGTAAGCTGTAGTACCTTGCTCCAGCAAAATGAATATAATTCACGCAATTTTCTTCTTAGATAATTCAATAAGTTATAACTTACTTATATCAACAAAAACCCAAAATAATAAAATCCACTTTATCGTATATGCAACCCACAAACATAGAGAGATTTGCTTGCATACAGAAATTGATGATAGTTTGAATACAGATTTCTTGATAAATGGCGTGTGTGGATAGTTTTAACAATAACAGTCTTATAGCAAAAATGTAAGAGTCAAGTATTAATAGAGACAAATTGAGCTACGAGATTTTTTCGATTTTGGAAATAAGTTTCTCTTCGGTTACGAAGATTAGAAACTTTGGATTCCAAAACAAATCTCTCTAGTCATTGAATAGTAGAACGCCGTTGTGAATGACGATGACGATGTTCACCTTAAAATACCAGAGAGGTGAAATCTGCATTCTCAGCATGGACGACAGTGGAATACACAACATTACATCGGGCAATACACATTTGTATCTGGAAATGACATTGAAGAATAAGTCGAGGAATCCGGCAGCCAGGATGGCGTCAAAGGAATTTTCACGACGATGCTTTTTGCTAATAAAGATCAGAATTGGGTTGTTGAAATTTTGATGCCATTCAATTGGGATGTAATGAACCCTAGCTCTGAATTCATTCTTGAACTCTTCATTGAAATTTTACCAACATTGGCCCTATTGTGGCCATGATATTGCCTTGGTTGTAAAATTTCAATATTTTTCTTTATTTTTGCAGAAAATGCTTCAAGAAAACTGGAAAGAAGGGGGTTAGAGGAGGAGAGTAAGTGCAGTTGAGTGGGTAAGTATAACATTAGGCTTTTAGGACGTATTAATTACGGTGTTAAATGGTTTAAGTACTTCGTAAGTGTACTATTCAATTTAGATATTTTAATGAAGTAGCGGGCCTAATTCACCCAATTTATTTAGGGGAAATTACAAAAAATTAGGTGTATTATTTACACCAATTCAGTATTTTATTTTAAATATCAATCCCTAAATCTATCCAAACCCTAAAATAATCCATCTCTCAACTCTCTTTCTCAACATTTTTCTCCACTTTCTCCACCGACCACGCCTCCATCTGCTTCTCCTCCACTCCTCATCCCTCCCCCTTCCTCTCCTGCTCATGGTTCAGCAGTGTCACATCGCAGCAACGCTGCTGCCAGCGTTGCAGCAGCGTGACGGTGCGGATCGAAGTTGAGAGAATCGGAGAAGCGGCAGATCTGTGGGTGTGGGGCGGATCTGTGTGTGGCTATTGTTAGAGGTTGGTTGTTGTTGTTTGCAGTTGTTGTTGCCGGATGTGTATGGTTTTCTCGGTGGTGGTGATTTTGGTGTAATTGTTGGTT